CGTCTTGAAGGCTAGGGAAGTATAGGTATCGATCTAGCGTCTGCAAGCGTCTACTAGCGACCAACAGCAGCGAAGGTATCAGCTGTCTGCTGCCCTCCTATCGCCCCATACTCTCTACCAGCAGTCTGTACCCTCCTATCTCTCCATACTCCACCAGCTGTGTGCTACTCTCGTCGCCCTCTCTTCTCGACTCCGTGGCGCTGATGAACGCTGGTGGACGCTGCCGCAGGTTTTAAAAGGCAGCCTTAGAGTTTAAAGCAATACTGTTATGATTAAATAGGAGGAAAAAAAAATCGTTTCTCAAGCTGTGTTGTTTCGCTCCACGTTTCATCTAGCAAGATGTGCCCATGAAGGTGAAAAACTCGCGCTCGCCAGAAATTTCTTTTGCGTTCTTGTTGGTGTGAAAGCGCTATGCAAGCTTAATGATGGCTGTAGTGTAATTTGTATAGATAGACACTTCACGGAAGCCACAAATCCTCCTCACTTCCTCGTTGGCGGAATGCAAAGCTTTGAGTTAAGAAAAACACCATTACGTATGAGAGCAGGGCCACGATCGTGTCGTGTTGATTGGCGCCTTGAGTCCGCCTATATGCTGTGCGTGGAATGTACCTACATATAAATGCAGAAAGACATTAATCCCTTGGATGGAATGTTGTCTCATATTTGATTCTTAAGGTGACCTTTGACCACCCAGCGTATACTCCGTTCACCGTCGACATGGTAGTATCCGCAGAAAATCGATCCCCAGATCTTCACATTAAATTGAATCGATTGTCAAGCATTGGAAATGATTTAATAAGTATGCATGCTCATTCCATTGTAAATTTCGTTTTACCCGTTGTCATTGCAATTTTCTGGTGTTTTTGTCATGCCTTCCACTCATTGTTGATTTTTTTATGACCTTCACTGAAATAAAAAATAGCTCCATTACATCAACAATTAGGTCTCATCTGTCTTAGGCTTCTCGTATACTATGCTGAATATGATCGTGAGCAGTCAAGCGTCCCACTTATTATGAATGCTTCGGTGATCATCAGCTCAGTTTTCGATGAGTGGCAAGCCTACAATATCCATTTCTAAACGTGGTCTATTATCTTTGAACGTGTATTACTTGTACAAGGTAGGGAAGCGTAGGAAAGCGACTTCGCTCGTGGTGCACGCCCCTGAAACTTGTTTCGCACGGACTGACTTGGCAGTGGGATACCGCCCCTGTTTTTCTAAAAATCGACAGTTTGCCGACGGACTGATTCATCACAAAGGTCTCACTTGGCGTAACTCCGCGAGAATGCAAGGCGATAGCCTGCATTAAGGCAAACCAATATGTATAGACCTTCCATTTCCGCTTCATGTTTTTTCGCGACGGATTTCTCCGAGGAAGTTGCTGGTGAAAGATGCTGCGAATTATGAAGGCAGCCTTATTAATTTAACTCGATGTAGATGCCCCGCTCCCCAGCGAGACAGAAAGAAAGGGACTGTGTTCCCCTGAAGTTGCCCCTGGTTTGTCCATTATTGATACCCCCTCATACTACCCCTTCCCTACCAGCAGGTCACAGATCACCCCACATCGCGGATTTCGTAACATACGTTTGACCCTATAGTCTGGAGTCTGAAAGCTGTCGATGCACTCGAAACACGTCGGTGACGGAGCCCCTTTTAGCGCTGAAATGTGAACTGTAGATTGTCTAAGTGAGAACGATAATGTCTAACCTGATAGTTGCCAATATTAACAGGTCGCCAAAATTCGCCATTTGCATACGTAGTTACAATTTTCATTCGGTCATCAATGCTCACAGTGACATTCAGAAGTCCTTGGCCTGTCCTAGCATCAACGACTCTGCCGTGAATTGCGCTGCAAGCGAAAAGAAGAGCTCGGCGACAGTGTATTTTGTACATACTCAAACGCGTGGGAAAAATGGAAGATTTTTGAAATATCTCACGTACAAACTAAAAAACGTGCATTCCTGTGCAAGAGTACCCGCCCATTAATAAGCACCTGCAAGAATACTCGCCCATTTGCAAGCGGATCCATCGAGCTGGGTTGGAAAAGAAAAGACTTTTGAGCCTTAACTCTCCAAAAATTTACGCCGTTATCAATCCTTTTGTGGAATGCGGCATGCATGCATTCTACTTCCATGAGGAATCGTAGTGGTTTAGTGAATGTGGTGTGGCCTGTACAATGGTGATAGGTTCGTTTGGCCGGAACGGGAGCCGATCCAGGGTTCGATGCCAAGACCGTGAGCGTGTAAACGTGCCACTTGCCACCACATTACTTCCGCTTCTACTTCTTAAGTACGAGTACATGATTACATTGGCGCTTCGCGCGACACCGGCTCGTTTTCTTCCTTTTTTTTCTTTCGGCAAGCGAGAAAAGCTGTAATATATCGTTCACAACAGTCGTTTCTCCACAGTTGTTATCGCTCATCCGCTTCAACAACTGGTGGCAACGGCTGGAGGCGCGCCAAACCCACCCCTCTTGGCATGCCCCACTATCCGCAGCGAACAGGACTGTAAGTCACCGCTATTGAAAGGACGACTTTTGGGAAAGCGTCTAAGAGCTTGCTCACATACATATCAAGAAGCCATCTCCATTGTGGCTCGGAAAACAATATTTTCGAGCCCTCGTGATAATTTGAAATTTGGATCAGAGCAAGTTATACTAGAACGCTTTTTGGGCCTAGTTCCTGGACCACACACAATTTTTCTTTTCTGAACAGCCGGAAAGATTAATGTGTTTCCGCGACAATACATAAAAGCAAGGTCTATCGCCTGAGCTTACTTGTGAATTTGCTTGATGAAATAGAGAAGGGGATATTTGTTTTCATCCCACAAGCGTTTTTAGTTCACTTCTTGGAGGATATTTAACGCAGTTCAGTTCGATAGTCAGTTCGAAGCAATTAGTGTGTAAGTAATTCCAATCTTGCATTCCACCAGACACTATATACCTGGAATGTTGTTCTCAATAAATCACAGCAGTTCATTTTCCAATACAAGTTGTTACCAGTCTGCTCCGTTGACAATTCCGTTCTGTGGTTCTGTAGCCAAATTCAGGTGATCGTCGAGACATCGTGGGCCCTACAGAAGGTGAATGAGTCTAAAGTCTCAAAGATGCTAAGGCAACAATCTACACTGAGGAAGGGCCTACAATTGCACCTCCCTGAAATTGTGCGATTTTCCTCTTCAAGACGTTTAGGAAGAGACGCGGCGACTGAACGGTAGGCCTCAGTTCATTCACAAGAGCGGGCAGAATAGGAGAGCCTAAGGACGCTCACAAAGAAATGTTTGGCTAACCTACGTTCAGCTTAGTATTTTCCTGGTTTCATTCAAGCTGCTACCTGCTAACCAACTCTGATTGAATCAAAGGCTCCACAAAAAGAGGGATGCGACTTGTTGAGCTGCTTCACTTTTATGCGGCGTCTACCAGCGTCCACCAGCGACCTAGAGTTCCGAGAGTCCGGACAGCGTCAGCTACTAGGAAAGTATAAATATGGATCTAGCGTCTGCCAACGTCTTGAGCGTTAGGGAAATATAGGTACCAATCAAACGTCTGCCAGCGCGAACCAGCGTTCACCAGTACCGGGAGTATAGAGTATGCGGAAGTAGGAGGGTAGCAAACAGTCGGATCAGGAAACTGCTAAAGCAAAGAATTATGCAATTTAATGTACGGTGTGGTGTAGTTGTACGGTGCGGTTGCACACGCCGCAATTTCACGACGCCTAATCCAACTGTCTGCTCCCTCCTACTTCTGCATACTCTCTACTCCCGCTCGATGGTGAACTCCGGTAGACGCTGGCAGACTCTAGATCGATACCTGTTAGAGACGCTGGTGGGCGCTGGCAGACGCGGATCGATATCTATACTTTCCTAGTCGCTGACGCTGCCGGACGCTCGGAACGCTGGCTGACGGTGGTGGACGTTGCAGCAAAGTATGAACGCAGCGCTAAAGCTTCCCATGTCTTTGTTTCAACACATACAGAAAAGTATAACGAAAGTTCCACTGCAGAGAATACAAGTATCACCTGTTTGTTCATTCGGTCGTGTACTTTTGAATAAGAGTAGGCTAATCTAACAAATAATTCATTATCCGGTGACGGTGAGTAACGACGTGAAGCGCTTCGAGTCGGATGGTCATCGAACGGATAGTTCACTGGAAAATATGTTTGAGAAGTACTTGAGGAGTTATGGGAGGTGATTTTCATGTACGCTGACACTTAGGACTTGGCAGACCGCTGCTGCACTTCCACCTTAAACTAGTTAGGTACTGATGCGAATGCTGCGCACGTGGTGCCGCTTGCAACATCGCGTCTCTGCAACATGGAAGTATCGTTCCCTTTCATCAAGCAGTCCATTGGGAACACTCTCTAGCTCATAGGTGGAGTGATTCCCTCAGGAACCTATTGGTTTAGAGACGAACTGGTATAGTTCTGCTCAAGTCAAATGGTGATAGCTACGTCATAGCTTCTCTGTAGTCTGAGTAGCCTCATTCCTAATCCATCGTGATATTTCTAGTTGATCTACTTACCCAGTGTTGTGCCACCATGAAGGCTAGCTGATAAAATAAACGGGATCGATTTCGTCCATTTCATCACTGCTGCAGTTTCCGGCTGAAGCTCTTCAGACGGGAAATAATTGGGAAATCTGTAACAATATTGCTATGACCATTGGTCTAATCGTTTTTGATCATGCCTTGGGAGAACTATTTACCTGCTGGGGAAATTCCTATTCAAATCTTTATTGTTAGCATTGGTTCTTCCGTGAATTCCTGCCTCATCACCTTCATAAGCGAGCTCATAACTGAAAAAGGTGTCACCATTCGTGCTGAACGTTCGGAATTCGACATGAGCTCGATTTCACTTTAGAGGCGTATATAGTGATCACTAGTATTATAGTACTTGCTTGAATGCTTAGCCTACACTGATAGCCTAGCACACAATGATAAAGACCTGAAAACGTCCGAGAGCAAATTGCCACACAGTACAAACGGGCATATGCAACTAAGTTCTTTGCAAACTTGCTGAACCCAAGCACACTCTGAGCAGCGTGTTATATTAGGTTGGCTAATAAGTAATGGCCGTTTTTTTCAATTGAAAAATTTGTTCGAAAAGTGAAAAGTTTTGCAAGCAAGTTATATATCATCTGATAGG